AGATTCAGGATTTAAAAGTTGTTTTAGTTTTAAAAGTGGTTGATAATTTGTATAATCAGGGTTTATATTATTGATCTTTAAAAATAATCAATCTCTTAAAGTTGAGTTCAGTTTGCAATATAGAATAAAATGGTATTCATCATCAAGTTTATCACAAAGTTTACATAACCGTTGATCTCTGGGTACATTTTTATATCTTCCCATTTCAACTTCTAGGTTATGGTCACTTACCCTGAATTTAGAAATTAATTGTCTGGTTTTAAAATTTGATTCTTTTAATAAATAATTCTCAATTTTTATATCAGATTTTATTTGACTATATAGAAATAATTTTGAACTGTCTGTTACAGAAGAAAGTTGATTCAAGCTTTTTTTTGTATAAACTTCATGTGATATCTGTTTAAACTTCATCTTTAAGGAATATTTAATTTCATTGTATGGTTTATCATAATTTTCAAAATCTTCAGCATTTAATCCGGTCTCTTTAAATATATTTAGAGCAAATGTATACCAACTATGAAAATTATCATTATGCAGTGACTTATTTAATTCATATAGGCTTCTTTTAACAGAGGATTAATATCATGGGTATGAAATCTACAAAAATATAGCATAACTTGTGGTTTAATAAATGAAGCCATAGAAAATCTGCCCAGTTCTGTTTTCGCTTTAATATTGCATGCAGTTTTCTTAAGCCCTAGGACAGATTTACAGTATTTATTATGAATCATTTCATAGAAAGATTTATCTTCTAAAGACAAAGTATTACAAACAGAACCATGTTGTTCTGATCGTTTCAAAGATTTAAAAATAGATAAATAATCTTCCATAAACCAGACCTCACTATTATATAATAATAGAACAGGTCTTATTAAGACATCAAATAGTTTACATGATAAATTAACAAGGATGGATTGAAAGTTGGAAAATCTACTTTTTAAAGCAAATAGGACCTTCAATCCCTTTTTTGATAGTTCCTGGATAGCTTTTTTAAAATTGCCTTTATAGTTAATAATGTTTCCTAAAAAATTGTGTTCCTTAGTCTCATTTAATTGGATGTTTTTATAGTGTACCACAGGGGTGGGAGAAAATTTATTCTGAAAAGTCATAACTTTAGTTTTTTTAGTATTAACTGTTAATTGTCAGTCAAAGCAGTACTTCTCTAGTTTATTTATAGCATTTTGCAGTCCTACATGTGAACTTGACATTATTACCAAATCATCTGCAAAACTAAAGCTGGACAATTCAGATTTTTGAAGGACTAAAGATTTACAAGTATTGTCAAAAACCTGATGTGTATTATTAATAAAGCAATTAAAAATAGTAGGGCTTAAACTATCCCCTTGCTTAACACCTCTTTCCAACGTGAAGGATTTAGAAATTTTATTATCAATTTTAATAGAAGATTCTGTTAAGTTATAAATATCACGAATAACCTCGAGATAATAAAATTTTTTCTCTAGCCCATTTTTTATGAGTTTGAATCGTAACCCATTATGCCACAAAGTGTCAAATGCTCTGCGTAAATCAACAAAGCAGGCAAATATCTTTACCTTCTTTTTATTTAGATATTCGAAATTGAAGATTTTAGAATAAACAAACTATCTGTGGTTCTATGATTGACTCTAAATCCAAACTGTTGATTTGCAAAAATGTTTTCATAATGTAATGTTAATCTATTATTTAATGCAGAGCTAAAGAGTTTCACAACACAATTTTGGAGAGATATACCCCTAGAATTATTAAGATCAGTACAGTCTCCAAATTTAAAAATCAATATTGTGTACGACTTCCTCCATTGAATTGGATATTTACCCGTTTCTAAAATTAAATTAAAAAGGTTCACTGGCTATTCGGACTTCTTTTGAACTGAATTTTACTGTGCGTATTGCTGTGTGTTTGTTTATTCCACATTGGCTAGAGGTATATAGGGGGAGGGTTGAGACCTCACAAAACATGTTGAACCCCGCCGCATTTTTGCCCCTGTACCAAGTCAGGAACCTCTGGCCTTTGTTAGTCTTGTATGTTTTTTCAGTTTTTGTTCATTTATATGTTTCGGAGTTTCGCTGAACTAGTATACATTATTATTAAGGGGCCAGCTGAAGCCCGCCTCCGGGTGCGGGATTTTCGCGCTGTGTTGAAGACCCATTGGAGGGCTTTGGCTGTTTTCTTCTCTTTGGTCGGGTTGTTGTCTCTTTGACGCATTCCCTGTTTCCATTCTCAATCTTATACTATATAAAAATATGGATATATGGTATGATTGCCAATTAGACAACTGTCCATTAGAGACCAAAAAATGTTGAAGTAAATGATTACTACTTTTGCCGGCAAAAAAAAATGTAACCAAAGTCAAGTATTATATCTTCTTCACAAATACTTCGAAACGACAATTAAACATCACTCAATCAAATCTAGGGAGTTTGAAGGATGTATATGAAAACAGTCTTATATTTGTAAAGGTTTGATATACCTTCTTTTTTTACGAGGCTTCAACTAATGAAGTAAATTATATTTGTAACATGAATGGTAAGTTTTCCTTTGATCTTCAAGTGAGTTAACTTCGGTTATGTTTAGAGGAGTGCGTTAACTGAATGACTTTTTAGTTATTGCACTCTCCAATCCTGCGGTTGACCGCTTCTCGTTGAAATAGCAAAGAATGAGAGGAGCTTAAATCAGTGCTCTAACTTCCATCTCAGAAGTTGTTAATACACAGTCCGGCTCCGCCTCCTTCCAGAAGTAAATAGTGAAAAAATAAAACAAAATGTAATAGAAATGACTATACATTTTCCTACTGTTATTTTGGTTGAATTCCTGCTTTTATAGTGTCGAAATTAATAATATTTAAAAAAAAATATATGTCACTGAATGTTTAATACGGAAGCGTATTAGGGCCATCCTTTTTAATTTATTTTTTTCAAATTGTCAACTTTAATCTTGGAATTATCAACTTTAATCTTGGAATTATATAATTTGATTTTGGAAATGACTGATATTTTACTTCTAACCCATAGTTTATTGTGTTTCTCCGTATACTTAATCTACTTATAATTATTTTCGCGGCAAATTTTTTGTAAAATGTTCAAGAAAAATAGACGTGTTTCTAAAGTCTTGAATAGCTTCACGTAGCCTAATATCAATGAAATGGGGTGTAACTTCCTATTAATGGTATACGTGGATATGCCAAAAATATGGGTCATAATTTTGCGAGATTTATATATATGACACTACTTTTTAATGGCATTCGATATTGATATGCATTGTTCTTTCATTTTTATATTGATTTGGGGTATGTTTTACATATCTTATATAAATATGTTATTGGAAATCTTACATTAATGGCCAATTGTGGCATTTAAATCAATCAGGGACTTTATATTTACATAAATATAAAGTCCCTGAATCTTTGCATTTTAATATTAAAATATCGTATAGAAGAAAAGGTCATTCTTGGTACCAAATATTAGTGAATGTTATATGCAAATGGGTACATTATTTTAGGTAAAATGGCACACCCCTATCAAAAAATTTCGAAGTTTGGCCGAGGTGAGAGTCAAGTGAGCAAAAAATCACGATGTTCTCAATTCAGAGATTCACTCGATTAATGTAAGTCGGAAAAATCAGTGTCGGACTAGTGAGGGTCGAAAGATTAAAGTTGGAATTTCCAAGTTTAATGTTGATATTCCAAGATTATAATAATGTTGATAATTCCAAGATTAAAGTGGGAAATTCCAAGATTTAAGTTGGAAATTCCAAGATTAAAGCTGGAAATTCCAAGATGTAAAGTTAATAATTCCAAGATTAATGTTGATAATTCCGAGATTAAAGTTGGAAATTCCAAGATTTAAAGTTGATAATTCCAAGATTAAAGTTGATAATTCCAAGATTAAATTCGAAAATTTGAAAAAAATAAAAAATAAAAAGGATGGCCCTAATACGCTTCCGTAGTACGTTTAATAATTTTCTCCATTTTATAAAGGTCTATCTCCGTGAATTGATCATGCTTCAAATATTTGTCCCTGGACCTTACTCGCAATCAACAACCATTCCAACCAATTCTCCGATCTTTTTACAGTTGTTGGGAATGGAAAAATAGTATTAATTACTTTCATATATTGTTATTGGAAAATGTTTCCTTCTTATCACAACGTTAAAACTCCATTGAACTACACGTCCTTTTTGGGGTTGAAGGCAGATAAACATCGAATAAAATTCTTTTAAACAATTGAAAATTGATTCATATTATTGTCAACCTGGGACTAGTTAGTATAATAGTCCCAGTGTCAACATATTTTTTTTTATTTTTGTTTGAAAGTTTCAGTGAGATATCAAAATCTCACCGTTTAGTGGGTGACAGTTTGGAATAATATGGTTGCAAAGTTAAATGGAAATAATTCAATTCCTTTACACACACTTGTATGGTTTTGATATTAATTGGAATTATATATAAATCGAATATTAAGCATGCAGATATCTATAAAGGCTACAATTAATTATAACTCAAAGCCGTGAAAGTAACACTCGCTTTTGAATTGAAAGTTTTGGCATTAATTGGTTAGTACAGGAATTTAATGGAAAACAATTTCCAAAACACTAAAGGCGACACATAGCCATATGCGAGTCATTAGAGAAATAACACGTTTTGAAACAAAAGAAAACAACACGTTATAAATGTCCGAAGCGATTTCTGGATATACCTTCATCAGGAACGCCCAAAGCCGAATATTTGAAAACCAAGGATATATAAAAACCAAAACAGTCGAAGAGCTATATGACCAAAAAGTACCTAAAAAAAATAAAACAAAAAACAAAAAAACAAAAAAAACAAATGAAAAAATGATCAATTTTTTAGTAGGTATATATTTGAATGCCTTGAAAATCTATCTTTTATCTTGAACAATGAAATAATGGTCTATGCACAGTTTAACTCTGCGCTATTTCAATTTTCGAATGTGAAACTGCCAAAAAGGGTTACATGAATCTTTCTTGTTTGTTTTTTTCAGACATGCTTTGAAGACAATTCAGCACAACTCCATGATAACATGGAACTATCTAGGCGATTAAATTATCATTGGAATTCAATTGCCGTGACACTATCTAGGCGATTAAAAAATCTTTGGAGCACTATAGTGATATTTTTAATAGCTTGTTTACTAGTTACTTTGACTTTGGATTCCTTAAATAAACAAAAAATTTTCTTAAAATTCAACGTGTTTTCAAAAAATCATTCAAACAGATCAAATGAATTTCAGGGATGGAAATATGAGGAAAAATACTGCCAAAACAAAAGACAACATACAAGCGTCGATGACATTCTTTGCATGGTTTGTATTAAATTGTAACCTTGGATATATTAGTTCCCCTCACCCATTTAACCTCTAATCGTTAAACGTGTGGACCTATCCTTCTAGACATCTAATTTGGATGTTAATGGAAGATCCTTGTTACTGTAAAATATATTCACAACTATTATAGAATCTTATCGGTGTAGTATAAGAGCTTTCTAGACTCCTAGCTGTTGTTGTAAATGTTTCACTCAAATATGAAATTTATTCAAAACAAAAAATGACATTTAATAATACATGTATACTTAGAGATTTTACATATAAATCTGATCAAATTATTATTCAGTGTTAAAAATTGATGTCTTAGACAATTACGATAAATATCGCAAATTTTGCATCAAAGGACATCGTTTACCAACAAGAATTTAAAAATGTTGTCTAAAAGGCAATACATATATTGATTTCCGAGAATTGTACGTAATTAGGCGGTATTTTGGATTTTTATGGAATTTTGTAAGCATTTAGAGCTTATTGAATTTCGGAGTATAATAAGGAAATTATAGCACAATGCCATCATGGTAACGACAAGTGTTATTAAATTTTTCTATGAAATGGAATTAAGACGGATCTTAACTGAGTTTGGCCATGAACACTGGGATTGATAACAAGATGCAATTGAAGGGGTGCAATTGGTTCATGCAGGAATGTATATAGTATAGACAGCTATACATGTAATAGACCCCGACATGACAAAACGTTAAACAATTCAGACGAAAAAACCTTAGGCCCGATTCATGACAAAATACCGAACGAAAAATAAATATAAATAATACTAACAGCGACAAACAACAACTACTGAATTAATTGCTCCCGACTTGGAACAGGCACCTATACAATGTGGCGTGGTTACATAAGATTGCGAGCGGTCAACCCTCCCCATCCTCAGCCGATTTCTCTGTTCCCTTTAAGTGTTAATAAATCTTCAAAATACGACGATTTGTTTAGGAACTCTATACAAAACACAATTTTTTTCAGAAACCATTTCAGTATTTGCCAAACTTTAAGAACCCCTGCTGGAAAGATGTGAACCATACCATTAAATGTCTTCCATATTTTATGTTAATTGGGATGGACAAATCTGGATCATCAGATCTTTTCGATAGATTAATAAAACATCCTGAAATTAAGGGGAACACTGGGTCGCAAGGAAAAGAAACAATGTGGTGGAGCTGGAGAAGATATGGTGAGTATTCACAATTCCCTTGTGATTTTTATTTATATATTTGTTCAGTTTTTCACTGAATTCCCCGTAAAAAACATGTGAGGAATGAAATGTCTCATTTTATTTAAATTGACGATTTACGATGTTTAATACTGATTTGTTTGTGATGCTTTGTCTTAAAATGAACAAAGACTAGCTCGACCAGAATTGAACTATAAATTTCTCAAGCAAAGCTAGTCCTTGGTGTTTCGGTTACATTAAGACTCTTTTTTCATTCTTTCAATAATATACATTACTGTGCATATTCGTTTAGGAGTTGAATGCTTCTTTTTTGTTTTTGTTATTAAGGTTTAAAAGCGTTGACCGAAACACATTTTTATGGAGCGCGGAAACTAAAAATGTGCTCATAATCAACGATTTTGAAATTTGATAGAGGGTTGCTGCTTATAAGGAAGCTATTGAACCAAGAGTTCCAAACTGTTGAAATCATCCCTTCAATTTTTTTAAGGACGCAATCATGAGTTGGTTGACCATTATGGAATATCTGTTTGACAGATGACGACGGATATGTTCCAATTATGGTTACCACAATCCCGCCCTCTTTTCCTCGAAAGAGACCTACCGATTTAGACTAATCACCCTGTTTGTACTTACATGAGCAACACGAGTTTTGTTTAAAGGGGTTTCGTGTTGCTCTTTCTAAAGTGTTAAGTGTTTTTTTTTTTTGTGATTTTTAATTTGTCAATGTCTGTGTTGTTTATACCGGTAACAGTCTCGTTTATTCTTTGTCATGAAAAACGTGTTTCTATTTCAAATTTTCACAGTTGGTCAAGTTTCAGGGTTAGAACATTTACTTGACCGATGGTTTATTAATTTGGTGATGTCTTAGGGTATAGTTATAATTAGTATATAATTATATTTATTCTCATCACCAAATACATATATTATTAGGTACATAGAAGACATGTAAAACATTAATAAACATAAATACTAGTTTACAATATATACAACAACAACAAAAACAATTTCAATTTATTTAGGAGGACACACTCGCTTTTTTATAATTCTTATTAACTTGCATACATTTGTGAGATCTGTCCTATTTGTAGAAGACATAATTTCAGTAGATAGTACAATATTTGGCCTTCTATTTAATTTTGTTTTAAAAATTTATTTCTCTCTTCTATAAAATGTGAACAATTTATAATGTAATGGAATTCACCCCCAATGTCTAGATTGTATAAATTACACTTTCTAATTTCGACTGGAAGTTTATGGTTACATTTTTTTAAATTTACACAAAGACAAAAAAACATTTTTCGTCTAAAATATTAAAATCTTCTTCAAAACAAAATGAATTCTTAAAAATACGGTTATTCAAGGCTTTCGAACAGTTTTAAATAGTCTCAAGCCATGTTTGTTTGAATTGATCACACAATCTTGCTTCTATATTATATGTCTACCATTATGGATATATCATTTAAAAAGTACTGTGTGTTCCAGACAGATATAAGAAAATCCACATTCATCAAATATACGTTTAACAAATCTTAACCATTTAAAATCTATGTTTTTGGTTCAATACAAGTGGTACAGTAGTTTATACATAATACAAGAATACTTTGACTGTTTTCCCATCATTAATTTCTACCCGTAGGATCCAAAATTTTACATCAAAATTAAGTGGAAAACGTCCTAGCTCACCGTATATCATGCAGTTGGGAGTGGAAGATTTCAGATTCAGGAGCAACTTACAAAATTTAGATGAACCTTTTCAATAGTATCACAGTTACTGGTCCACATATTTCTGATCCATATAACAGAACAGGTTTGACTACTCTATAAAGAAGATCTAACTGACAAGAAACTGAAAGGCTATGAAATTTTCCCCTTTTAAGAGTCTCATACATCTCTTTTGTCCCCTTTTCAACCTTTGAATTAATTACCTTTTTATAATTTCATGATTTTGTCAATAAAATACCCAATAATTAAACTCTTGAACGATTTCTATCTCTTGATTATCTAAAACAAAGTGTAAATTGTCTGGTAATCTTCCACATGAAAAAAAATGGTTTTGGATACATTAACTTTTGATTTCCAGTTTTTACAGTATTCTTGAAAAATATCTAACTGTTTTTGAAGATGTCTTGTGGTGTTTCGGACATAAAAACAGTATCATCTGCATATAATAATAAAAAGATATTGAGAGATACATCAAGTTCATGTTCTATTTCTTCTGCAACCATGAAAAGGCCTTTACAGTTTTTCGTCTGTAAAAAAATTCCAAATCATTTAAAAATACTGCAAACACAAAAAAGGGGACATGTTTACCCTTTGCCTTACCCCATTATTACACGGAAAATATTTTACATTTTCCCATTTATATTGTTTTATAGTAACTTATGGCAAAGCCCATCCCTCCAAACTTTGTCAAAAGCCTTTTCAAAGTCTATAAATGCACAGTAAAGTTTTTTTCTTTCTTCTCTTCAGAAGTTCAAACAGAGAATGCAATATAAATAAATTATCCATAGTGCTATCATTGCCTAAAGCCACATTGTGTTTCATGTAAAATCAGGAAATCGTCAGAATGATTGTTCAAACACTCGGTTAAAACAGCCGTTAACACTTTCTTATCCTTTCTACGCTTTCTTTGAATTCTATATGTTCAGGTACGTCACATCCGTCTACATTTGTTGCATACAGACTAATAGATAATAGACAATGTACGTCAGAAAATAATTTAGAAAAATCTACTACTTTCAAAGTACAAAATCTATTTATAAAATTCACATTCCCTCGGAATATCTAGAAAATCCAAAATGGACCCACTATTTTCTATAAAATCGGAGAAAGTATTTGAAGGATCTTCATAATCAAAAATAAGAAAATCTCTGCGTGGCCGCTCGCCTTTTAAAATCGCCAACAAAACTAACAAATTTTCACCGCGATGACAAGTTCAGAAACTCGTTTTCAGTCTGACTAAAAGCATCCCAAGATGCATAAGACGTATACTCAGGTGGAATATACATAATTCCAAACAGTGCATCTGTATCAGTGTTCATTAAGTTAGAACTTACCTCGAACCAAAATACAGTTAATCACTGGATTTAACTAATCAACGTATTGTATAAGAGTAACACGACGTGTGTCGCATGTGGAGCAGGATCTGCTTACCTTTCCTAAGCATCTGAGATCTCCGCCGGTTTTTGATGGGGTTCAAGTTGTTCAGTCTTTTAGTTTTCTATGTTGTTTTTTGTGTACTGTTGTTTGTCTTTCGTCGTATTTCGTTTTATTTTTGCCATGTAATTGTCAGGTTGTTTCCGACTTATCAGTTTAAATATCCCTTTGGTATCTTTCGCCCCTCTTTTACAACACACCCTATAAAATTACAAAAATTCAACTCTTTTAATTACATTATTATTCAACAACCATGAAATTAAGAGTTTTATCAAGCGTTTCGCTTGTTTTCCTATGCATTGTTTTAACATTTTCACGGATAGCACGTGCAGTCATAGCTGTTGTTTGTTTTATATGGAAATACTATTTATATTGAAGTGCCTTATGTTCAAAATTACGGATTCTAATGAAACATATATGTAATGTACTTATTTCATATTACCAACTGCTCAAATGTTTTACCAAATGCAGTTTGAATTCACCTCTACAAACTGATCAAATTGTAATGCTTTTAAGCTCATTTCCTTCAGTGAAAATCAAGTGCAGTGTAAAAAATAGTTTTTGATTTTGTTTAAACTAATAGTTGTCTATAAAGTCCCAATCGTTTTTTAGGTTTATGGTTAACACGGAAAATAAAACGACAAAACCTTAATGATTACACATCCTACTTTGACGGGTCAGCAGCACATATAAGCAACACTACAAATGATCAAGGATATCATAACTTGATAGCAGGTTAGTAATCTTGCAATTATTCAATGGCTGAAGCATGATTGTAAGGTCACCATTTTGATAAATTTGTATCGGAAAGAAACGGGCGCTGGATGCAATGACGAGAAGATATTTTGACAGATCATTTCTTTGTCTTAAAATAATGTTTTTCACTGTGTTTAAAAGAGAGATATGACCCCTAAGCGGCAATCAACTACCGTCCGACAAACGCTTAAGACAACATTGAAAGTATTTATGCCATAGTGGATTTATCTACATCATTGAACTTAAACGTTGTATGTTGTATTTTGATCCCAAATATCTAACTTTTGATAAATTTATTTTTCTCGTTATGATATCGTGTCTTCCGTCTACGTTTCTTTAAAACATGTGTATAATAGCAAAGGAAATCGAAAGACTGATCGGTGTATAATTTTGCAGTGTTAAAACGAAGAAAGAAAAGATCGAACAAATCGGTATAACGAGTCTTTAGTCGTCGAAATATTCACAATATGAAGCTTTTAGACGAGCGAGTACAGCGAACGAACCAAACGTAGCGTTGTGTCGAGTAGCGAATATTTTGCATACATTCATACAAGTAAATGCAATAAAATAATGTTGAAGTAGTTGATTAACCCTGCCACAGTTGCTAAAAGTGTGCTTCTTTTCAGGTGATGGCACTCCAATGGACATGTGGGATTTTAGAGGATGGCCACAGATACCACAAAACCTGAATAAATCTGAACCTGAAATTCTTACTCCACATCTTATAAGACATCTTTATCCAGAAATGAAATTTATAATTATTTTACGAAATCCAATAGACAGGTACTTCAATTTTTAGAATTATGGCCATTTAATGATTAAACAACAAACAAATAAAATCTTTAGATAACTATGTTGATTTTACAGAACATATATTCTGAAGCAATAAAACACAACTTCAATTTGTTAGCGAAAATAAAAGATTTTTTTTTTATGTTGAATGACATAAATTAAGTTTACGATGATTTATTAAAATAATTCGTTACGTCAGCTCATTCGAAAGAAACGACTGTAATAAAATTGTCTGCTCTGTTTTTGGCATTGATATAAGTGTAAAAACAAAGATAATTGGTAGGAAGAAAACGCAGTGTTCATGACATTTTTTCTTTATGCTTTCCTAACTCGTGTCGTCCTGAACATGAAGGAATTATTTGCTCTTGTAAAATAAGGGGACAACCATTTGATATTGATTCTAAAGCTGGCCTGGTAATAGATACAAAAAAATAAACATGCGTAGCGACAGACTAAAATGAATGATCAATCCGCAATAAATCCTTCTGTCTACTCCCCATCTCCAGAATATCAAATGGTCGTCCCCTAAATGTTACTGTCCATCCTTTTCTTTCTTTTGTGTTTTGCCATTTTTCATCGGATAGTTTCCTTATTTGTTTTCAGTTGAAATATCCGATGGAGAATGTAAAAAAAAAAAATTCGTGATTATATCTTATAGAACTACTGTTTAGCAGCATTTTAACTCGTGTATCAGAAATATCACAGTATTGCAAACAATTTTTTATCTTCAAAAAATTTAACCTTTTTTGGTTGAATTTTCACGTTTGTTAGTACCGATCTGATAAGTTAAGCCTTTTCCAATAGAGTTTATAGTTTTTTCTTAGGCTGTGCTATTAAACACAACAGGCCCAAGTTAGGGGAGTGTTGAACACTCGCATACATGTTTTACCCCACAACATTCGTTATGTGCCTGCCTTGGTCGGAAGTCTGTAATTTAGTTTTGGTTGGTTGCTGTTGTCTATATTTGTTTTTGTTGATTGTTTTATACTTAAATTTGTTTTTGTTGATTGTTTTATACTTAAATTTGTTTTTGTTGATTGTTTTATACTTAAATTTGTTTTTGTTGATTGTTTTATACTTAAATTTGTTTTGAATTGTTACACATTTACTCATGCCGGGCCCTTTTATAGCTTACTTTACAGTATGGGTTTTGCTGATTATTGAAGGCCGTACCCTATTGTTGTGTACATCATCATCCTTTGGTCTCTCGTGGAATATTGTCTCATTGTCAATCATACCGTTTATATCACCATAGTTTGAACAAAATAAGGAGCGAAATCTAGTTTTTGATTTTCTTTTTTCATATGATTAACAAAATGTTGTTATAAATTGTAGATTATACTCGGATTATTTTTTTCTAAAACTTGGTATACCAACACGTGCTGCCTTTGATGTTGCTGTCAATTCTTCTCTGCAGATCCTTAATGAATGTAATCGTGTAAACAGTCTCCGGAAATGCTTGTATGATGCAAAACTACATTATAAATGGGATAACAAGGTACTTCTTGGAATATTTAATTCATATTTTATGGGCCGCCGCAGCGGAGGGGGCATTAAGTGTTACCCTTGTCCGTCTGTACGTTCGTTCGTACGTACGTCCCAAAATAAGTTTCCGTTCTCTAACTTTAGCTTGCCTCAACCAAATGTTATGAAACTTATAAATAATGCTTATTACCATAAAACTCAGATCAAGTTCGAATTTGGGTGGCGTCACTTTTACAGTTCTCTAGTTATGTCCCTTTATAACGTTATATGTAAGCGGGGGCATCATCTGTGTCCCATGGACACCTTCTTCATTTATTTTAGTTGGATAATGCAGACGCTTAAAATAGATTTTTTTCTTAATTTAAGGTAAGATGGTGATAGTATATTATCAATATTTATTGCAAAAGAAATGTAACTATTCTTCAGAATCATTTGGTGTTTACCTGTCTATTTACATTTTTGCAAGTTGGCTGTCCCATTGAATAAGAACAATTTATTGTTCTCTGTGGAGTTTATTCATTATGACCTTTAAATTTCTCCTTGAAAAGCCAATCATTCATTGATTAATTTACTCCCGGATATGGAAATGCATGTAACAATACTAAATAAGGGCACTCAACTGTATGTAGTGTTGTGTTTATTTTATATCAACTCATCAGAGCTCCAGAAAAGATTCACAAGTTGGGGTTTTTACCAATTTTGATTTAATTGAGTGAAATAGTTTTTTCAATTGCATTATAATTTCCAATTCACCCCTCAAGAAAATATCAAATTGTTATCATATCAAACAAAGATGTTCATTCACTGTTATCTTGAATATGTTTCTTTCAAGTATTGTATGTGATAGCCTTTTTATTCGGTTTAAACACTGACCAGCATTTTTTTTTTATGTTAAATTTGTGTTTGGTTTGTTTCAACTGTTCTGCCAGTTTCGTATTTTTTCTGTCAATTTCTATTAATTGGTGTTATAACAAAATGCTGTCATGATTTATTCAATATCAGAGGAAACTTTGGCAATGTGTAAATTTTTATTGATGATATGCATATGCTCAGCACTGTCATTTTGTCTTGTCACTGCTGACAGCTGAACATTTGGGGTCCCTTCGTCGCCCCAAACACTTGTACATGTTGTAATTTTGTTGTCTCAGTGGCTTGCGGTAGACTTACATTCAGAGCAATAAATATATATATGAGACCCCCGTTTAATCGAATTTATTTAGCAATGGGTTCTTCCTTTCAGTGTCTTTGATTACATTTAGTAGTATTTTCATAGAAGGAAGAAAGGACACCGTTGATGATTTCGTCTAAAATGTCACATATATTTGGATTTGTCGCCTTCTCCATTAAGGAATTGATAATTTGACTTGCGTACTTCTGTGCTTCCACACAGCGGTCTGTTTTCCAATAATTCAACACAATATACGACTTTTTTACTCGCAGTGTTTTTTTCTGCCTCTCCAACACTGGCACTAGTCTCAGAAAAAAATTTCCTATATACCTATATTAAGGTATATAGGAAATTTTTTCTGAGACAAGTGCATGTGCTCTCCGACTCATGGTCTACCAAAGAAAATTTTATAAACTTGTCCTTTATGTTTACCGGGGATACAGCTTTGAGTAAAGGAAAATTCCTTCCAACAGGGACCCAGATCAGATATTTGATGTAACGCTCTATTTTTAGAACGAAAGTAGATTTCTTAACTCTGATTTCCTAATATTACAAAAATAGATTTACGCGACAACAATTTATCAATTATGGTAAATAACGCACATGCAAGCGACAAGTAGGGTTGAGAACTTATAGTTTTAACATATAATTGGGTTATCTTTGAATTAATTGGGTTTTTGAACGCTGCATTTGTCAATATTGAATTGGGTTTTCAATTGTTTTTATTGAATAATCACGAAAATACGCAGCTTATCTGGAGCTCTGTCTCTCACTCATTTTAGTGGGTTACTAAATGGTTTAAAGGAAATGTTTACCTATTTGGAAATTTGCTTTATCACTATAAAACCATAATAAACTGATATAACTTATTTGCAATATGCACAATTATTATTAAATTGTCCACAACTTCTCATAGTATTTTACAAACGTTTTATTTTTCAATTAGTTCTATAACACTGATTATAAACAGAAAAAAAAATCCGACATAAAATTTTGCTATTTTGCTATGGAAATTTGTGGCTTCCAGTTTTTTGGTTTTTGTTTTTGTTTGACCAATAAAGTTTATATATAGTTAGGTACCCAATATTGGCCATTCACCATGTCCTAATTTTTATTCTGTTTATTATTCTATTATAAATTTTGTTATGTTTGATCAGGGACTTTCAATACTAGTATAGACAGTCCCTGGTTTGATTAACATGATTAAAAAGAACCTCATATTGAATGAACACATTCAAGAATAACCAGTGGAAATACTTTTAATAAATATATCCAGAGTGTGTTATGTTCAACTGATATTTCAAGAGTTATACCATCTATATATAACCTGGGACATAATATATTAACGGGACTTGACACTCGGCACTTGTCGCGTCAGTTCTAATTACAGATGTGGTACGGAAACGGAGATGTGTCAAATTACGTACTCGCTATTATTGACGACAACATACGGCTCTACATTACCAATTCGAATTGAAATCGGTTTTAAAATAATGATTGGAAATTTTCTTACATTTTATAACACTTATGTAAAAATATTAAATTAATTCCAAAGTGATAAAATGAACAATTATACAGATACTAAATGTTTTTTTAAGAGAAAACGGCAATTGCGATTATAGCTTTCTTTCCTTTTGTATCTATTTCTTATTATTAAACGAATTTTCACTTAAAAAGTGTTCGAATGTGTGTTTTTTGTTAGAGTCCTTGTTGTTGCAAGGATTCTGATCTTCTGTAAAAATTGTGTTTATTGAGGAAACAAGTTATGATAAATATAAGCTAGTCCCCCTTTGATAAACCTTTATTATTTATTCGATACAAATTTAAAGAGTTATTTATATTTTATTTTACATTGGGAATTTAATTATTTTCAAAGAGTCTGCACTCCTGTGGTGTAGTAACCATTCAACCTCCTGTGTACAAGGTGTAAATATAAACTCATTAGAGCATGTTGTGATTTACCTGGTAATAAAATAATTCATACCTAGTATACATGTCGTACTGTGAAATTAAAATGTCTCGGAGATATGCTTATGTTTATTCAAATGAGAAATTAATTGCATTTTTTTTTAAATATTTAATCTTAAGAATTAACAATTTTGTTAAATATAACGTGTGCTTTTATCGATTTCGCTAAAGCTTTTGATACCGTCTGGAAAAATGGTCTGTGGCAAAAATTACTATTAAATGATATAAATGGTAAAATGTAAAATGTAATTTTTAACATGTACTATAGTGGTATTAAATCTCGTATTTCATTTAATGGTGAAACTACCGAATACTTTCTATGTAATATTGGTGTTAGACAGGGAGAAAACTTATCTCCTTTTCTTTTTTCTTTGTATCTGAATGACTTGGAAGATTTTTTTCATAGAAATGAAGTATTAGGTTTAAACTCAGTGACAAATGAAATAGAAGAACAAATAGATATTTACTTGAAACTTTATGTACTACTTTATGCAGATGATACTGTTTTATTTTCTGAAACTGCACAAGATCTTCAACATCAGCTAAATACATTTTATGAATACTGTGAAATATGGAAACTGAAGGTTAATTCAACTAAAACAAAAATTGTTATTTTTGGTAATGGTAGATTGTCAAACAATCTAAATTTTACACTTGGTGGTAATGATTTAGAAATTGTCAAGGATATATCATATTTAGGCATTATTTTTTCGAAAACGGGTAGTTTCACAAGTGCTAAAAATCAACTCATTAGTAAAGCCATCAAAGCTACTAGTATGTATGAAGTCCTAAAAAAGGGCCGTTTACATAACCTGACAGTTAAATGTCAGTACGATCTGTTTGATAAAATTGTTAGGCCATTATTGCTATACGGCTGTGAAATTTGGGGATTTAGTTATATTGATGCAATAGAAAGAGTCCATTTGAGGTTCTGTAAACTTTTATTTAATTTGAAAAAATCAACCCCAAACTTTATGGTTTATGGGGAGCTAGGCGCTTATCCTAAGTCAGTATATGTGGAACACCGTATGGTAACCTTTTGGTCTAACATTGTAAATGGTTCTGATCAGAAATTAACAAATATTCTGTAAAGATATATTTATAAACTAAACGAATATAGTGGATATACTTTTGAATGGTTGATTTGTATAAAAAATATCTTGAATAAATATGGATTTTCAAATATTTGGATAAATCAGAGTAATTGCAGTTTTAATCCAAAATGGTTAAAGTTGAGCATTAAACAGAGAATACTTGATCAATTTCAGCAGACTTGGAAATCAGAACTGGAAAACTCTCCAAAAGCATTATGTTATAAACTATTTAAAGAAAATTTGGAATTTGAAGAATATTTAGACTTATTACCTTATAAAGATAGAATAGCTTTATGTAGGTTTAGAACTGGAAATCACCGGTTACCTATAGAAACCGGTAGATGGCTTGGAATTGTTAGACAGGAAAGGTTCTGTGTACTTTGTAATTCTCGAGAGATAGGTGATAAATTTCACTATATTCTAAACTGTACAGCTCTAACAGAAAGTAGAAGAGCTTTTCTTAAACCTTACTATGTAAGTCGAGTAAATGTTTTCAACAAATACTCGGGTATTGAAAAATTTGTGTAAATTAATCAGAATTATCAATACAGAAGTATGTTCTCCAGGTTGATCATCGATCTCTCATCTTTTTATGCTCGTTTTGTACAAACTTGTCATGCGCAGAATCTGTATGTAATTATATGTAAACATGTCTTTCTTTGTACCATTAACTTGGTTTTATAAGAAATAAAGAATCAGATCAAAAATTGTTTTCTTAGTAGAAAATTATTATTGTAATTATTGATGGTATGTCATTAAATTCATTTCTTTCGTAAGAAAAAAGATAACTTTTAACTTTGTCGCTTTATTTAAGTGCAAAATAAAAGGGATAATAAATAAAAAACGGTGGCCATAAATCAGTGACCATTTCACAACGCTTTAAATCACTTCACATCCTGAAAATCTCTCTTTTATGTGTCATTCTAAATACCAAATTATATTTTGTTTGTTATAAAATTAAATATAAAACGTTTTTGACGATCGTTTAAAAATATTCCGTAAATTTACACAGCCGTTGAAACATATTTCACTCCAAATCCTCGCAAGTCTCGAAAAATCTCGCGACAAGGTGTTTGATCATGTTATAAGGAAACCCTACGAGATTCTAATGCCGTTAGTATAATAGCCCCAGATATAACAGCATCACATATTCCAGTTGTTTCTATATCATTGTTATGTAATCACTCTATTGAAACTCTCCCTAATAGTAAATAATTGCAGAAATATTTTTTTAAAAAAGGGCAATTAACTGGAATAAAGGTATGGTGCTAATGTGAAAAGAATTTTCACAAAAAAATCGCAAACCTTAATGTTTTTAGAATACAAAGAAAATTGGCTTTTCGCTCTGACAATATGTGTCATTATTTAGTATTGGTGCATGCATTTTCAGCACCAGCAGTTACATTTTTGTTCAAGTTAATAAATAAATGAATGATTGGCTTTTCAAGGAGAAATTTAAAGTTACCAGTGAATAAACTCTACAGCATTACAATAACAATTTATTGAATGGGACAGCTGAACTTGCAAAAGTTTAAATGGACAGGTAAACACCAAAATGAATGATTCTGACGAAAAGTTTCACCTCTTTCGCAATAATACATTTATTTATTTTTTTTACACTGGAAATGATTCCGTTGATTCGATTGTTTAAACCCGGTTAAGTGAGAACCATTCTTTTGATAATGTATTCGGTTTTTTTCAGGCTCGGATACATTTGGGATTCTACTATGTATTTTTGTTAGAATGGTTTAAAGTTTTCCCTAGAGACCAGTTCATCATTTTAAGGACAGAAGATTATTCTAAAGATATGTCCTACCACATGTCAAAACTGTATAAATTTCTGGGAGCAGGTAAGATAATCGTGACCTTCTGAATGGCATTTAATTACTCATACCGCATAGTAAGCTATAAAAGGTCCCGACATGACAAATGTAAAACAAGTCAAACGAAAAAACTAACGGCCTGCTTTATGCACAAAACTATAAACGAAAAACAAATATGAGAAACAGAAACAAACGACAACTACTGAATTAAAGGTTCATAACTTGAAACAGAATGTATTTTGGCTCTAAACCTTCCCCCTAAGTTCATATTTCATCCACTATATTATTCCATATTCTATATGCTCTTTGCAACACATTTCAGTATATGATGTACTCAAACTTTCGTATGTCAAAATTATTAGTGTTTATAATATTTGCATCCTTCTAGATCTTCTTTGCTTCAAATAAATCGTATCGAAAATATTCTTTAAATTTGTTTGTATTTTCAGTATCATATAGTATGTCATCTTTTTTCTTAATTTCCTTACCAAACCTCTAGAATGTGACTTTAAATATTCACAAAAATAAAGTATATGTTCTGAATCAAAAGTTAAAAACCTAGGGCTATCAACATTCCACAATCCATAGGGAAACACGGACCCTACTAAAATCATTGAGTAATTAGGTGCTCCGTATGGGAAAGCGGACCTGTTCTACTATCGACACCACTAATTTAGTTTAACATGATTAATAAATTCAGTTCTTATATGAAAAGTAAAATAACAAAGCCGATTGTACAAAACATGTGTGGCAACCTTTACCATGCAAGCGTTGTTCCTTTAAGATTATATAATATATCAGAGTTTGTCGTTGATATAATGTTTGTTTAAGTCTATTGATTTGACGATATCTAATAAGTTGTATCTTTATCTATAGGTGAACTAAGTATGAAGCAAATGAAAGATTTGGGAATTCTGTCAAGGGAGCATAAACATAGAACAAAAGAAAAACAGAAAGTTGCACCAATGTCAAATGTAACTAGAGATAAACTATTGAATTTATATACGCCATTCAACAATGCGCTGTCAGTTATGCTGAATGATTCGCGTTTTCGGTGGTAAGACATTCAACAGAAACTTGAAATGGACACCAAAGATCTCGTTTATTTCATAGCGAGCTGGCATTATTTATGGAATATCACGAAGCTGAGTTAGTGGAAATGCTGCAAGGTTGTTTTTTTTGGGGGGGGGGAGGAAGAGTGACACCATTGGAATTGTTTTTTTTTATCTATAATTAGATATTTGCAATTTCTGTGGAAAGACATGAGAACTGTATCTAATTTATTGTATGCCATTATATTGGTAAGTTATGTGTTGTTTGCTTGTTATAGCGCTTGATAACTTTAGTTTTTATTATTAAATTTGTTTTATTATTTTATAATTTATTACATTTTTATCTTTGCCCCACTTACTATGTTTTTTTTTTCTGAGAACTCTCATAATTGTTTGCATGTTTTGTTTGTTACGTTTCACTCACGTCTCAACGTCGGGCAGTTTATTGCAATTTTTATTAGAGTTCTACGACTGCGCACTACCTATTGTCTACATTTTCTGAATAGCTGTGATACTAATTCAATGATATGATTTTCTGTCTCTTTAATTTTTCTTCAATATTAATTAATGTGATATCAAGAAACAGAAAGAATACTAAGAACTTTAAAAATAAAACTTCTATAATATAAACGCGACTTAAAGACTACATCCCTTACATTATAACAACCGCAAATAAAAATATTGAATTTGAATCTGATCCACAAATATTCCCGTACGATTTCAAAAAATGACAAACCTGCTACAGATTATCATCTGGTAATACTAATCGGCCATCTGCGAACGGGGGAATGTTTCCGCTGTCCTTTTCCGTTGACATTACTTGGAAAACTCAAAGCCTCGTATATCTGGTAACATGAACTAAACCAAAATATGATATCTAATATTTAGTACTTAATATGTAGGGCAAACAGCAAACAGGACGTTAATTTTTCAAATAAACACAAAAACATCTTTACTGCTTCCTCAGATAAGTGATTCAGAAGTCCACTCGAAACCACCCAGAAACAACCAGGACAATCACATATGCAATTGGAAGTTTCCCGTAAAAGTTGCGAACTCTCTTGGATTAAACGATTCCAGACAGCATATCCCACTAAACTAAATGGAGAGTGCGCATGCCTAAAAGGAACAGACGTGTTTTGAAGCTCCGATAAAAAAATGTGATTTTCTCAGGAAAACAGCTTCCATATGTGACTTAAACATGTTTTAGTGCCTTTATTTCAGTGTTTGTAAGGTACGGACATCAACTATTTAAATTTTGAATCATATTTAACATAAAACTAAGATGTGACATTGAACAGGTATAATGTTTCAATAGTACCATTCGAGTGCACCTTTAAAAAGTAAACAAACACGATGATGATATAGTTATTCGAGTGTCCGTCATTAAAAACAAAACTTGCGATATAATATATTTGTGTCCAATACTTTTGAAGAAACCAAACATATTTTAATGCAGGTTGATGAATGCAATACACCTGATTCCTTAAATTCAAAAAAGCGAAGACGTAGAAACTCATCCAGACCATTCCCCCAAAATACACAGATTGCCAAAAAAACAAATCTTACCAGAAGTACTAAACTTGATAGCTCTACTGATAGCATGGCAGCGACCAACCAACAACTAATTGTTAGCATTAGTGACAGTGATATCGCAAAAATAGCTATAGCAGTTAAGCAAATTTTGACTGATGAGTTCAAAGCCCTTATTGAAGAAAAACAGAGGCCTATTCTCTTTGAACTAGCCGAAATAAAACAAAAGCAAACTGGATTAGAATTCTCCTATGGAGAAGATGTCAAAAACTTTAAAAACCAGATAGACTATCTAAAAATTAGATGTGATGAGCTAGAACAGCATAGCCGGAAGCAATATGTAAGGCTTAGCGGAGTGCCGTATACTATAGGCGAAAATACCGATACAAAAATTATAGAAATCGCCAATGAATTAGGTGTTATTATGCAGCCAAATGACATAATGATTAGTCATCGTACAGGGAAAGCTAAACCTAGACAGATTATTGCTCGAATACCAAACCATAATCTAAAAAAGAAACTGCTGAAGGCATCCAAACAACTAAAAAACAGACCTGATCTACAAGGTAATTCAATTAATCAAGACCTCACCGTAGCCAGAAGTGGTCTAGCTTACGAAGCATTGCAGTTAGTGAGAAGGAAGAAAATCAAGTCAACTTTTGTGGTAGGTGGAAAAATATATGTATATGACTTATCAGAAACTAGACATGTTATCCGGAATGAAATTGAATTCTCCAAGATGTTGAGTGTATGCCATATCGACACAGACATCTCTGATGATGAATCTACACCTGAAAAACAACCTGTAACTGATGAAGTAGTGATGGAAAGTGGGAGCTAAATCTATCTCGACGGTTTTGTTTCAAGCAAACCGCTGACTACAAAAAAATAAGATATTACTTGTCACAAATCTCAGTCTGAAATAGTAATTTAAAATTGTTCTGAGTAAAAGAATATTATTTTTTAATTTTGAAATACCTGTAACTGTAATATAGGGTCTGTTTGAATGTCTTTACTTGATTTATTGTCAAGAACTCGTTCTCTTTCTACATTTTATTATCTCAATTTCAACATGTTAATAAAAGTTGTCTCCTTAGACAACAGATACTATAAGACAGCATTCTGAAAGTATTATGTACTGCTAAAACGTTTGAAAAGATATTTGTATAAAGTTAATACAAATATCATGCTACTTTCGTATGAAAAAAAAAACAGATTAAGCCAACAGATTTTTTCTGTATTCCTTGACATTGTTATTTTAATTTGAAGCATATCAATAACATAAAGTATATTTTCTTTTTCTTTTAATTCCTTGGTTTTTTTTTGTTGTTGTTTTTTTAATTTTTTTAAATTTATTACAGATACATTTGCATTTAATACTTTGTGCATACTGATTCAAAAAGAAAACTTTTTCTTTTTTTTTGTTGTCCACATAAACTGAAAACATAAGGAAAGATCCTATACTAATTTTAATTTATAATTAAAGTCACACTGGAAGGTCTTAACCAACAACTAAACAATTTGTGTATATATGTTGTTACACTAGATGTTTTTTTTTTATTTTATTTTGTTTTATATGCCTGTTCTGTGGTTTGCCATGCTTTATGTCTGTTTGAACTTGTTTATTATATTGTTGAAGCCCCACCCTTATATTTTGTATCCTGGTTTTTTTTTTGTAACTTTATATGTCTACTGATATAACTACTTATAGAATAAGGGTGGGGTTAAATTATACAAGGTCAACTCGAATTCATCGTAAAAAATGAATTGACATGCATACTGTTGTTCTTGTATTACTTATGCTTCGATATAGTTATTTAGGGATCATAATTGCTCTTTATATACTGTAATATTTGAATTAGATCAACTTCCCATAATACCATTTTCAAGTACACGATTAACTTCCACTGTGTTTAAAGAAGTACCGAGGTACCATTTTGTGAAAACTGAGCATATTTGTTATTTAATATTTCTTGTAGTTTTTATTATCTTGCTTTCTGGTGATATTGAAACAAATCCTGGGCCATCAATTACAAATGATGCTAGCCTAAATGATTCAGTTTCAAATTTAGATCTTCGCGATTTGATTACATTTACTTGCATTAATATTCAAAGTATAAAATCAAAACTTGATATTTTGGAGGCAGAGCTTGGGGATAGAGATATAATTATGTTAACAGAATCTTGGTTAAAGCCGAACACATCAGACAAATCAGTTGTATTATCAAACTTTAAGGCTCCTTATCGTAACGACAGAGAAGGTGATAAGCTTGGAGAGGGAGTCATGATGTATGTAAAACAAAATATCCCAAGTAAGCGACGAAATGATCTAGAAATCAATACTCTCGAATGCTTATGGGTTGAAGTAGTAGTTAAGGATCGTAAAGTATTGTTTGGCCTATTTTACAGACCTCCGGATTCACCATATCATATTTGGAATCATATAAATCAATCAATCGAATACGCAGTATATAGCAGTATAGAAAGTATAGTGGTCATGGGTGACTTCAATGAAAACTTACTACTGACAAACCGTAATAATTTAAAAAACATAATATTAGATAATGGTATGCACCAAGCAATTACCGAGCCAACATTTTATTGTGAAAATTCCTCATCACTCCTCGACCCCCTTATAGTTAATGATATCCATATTCTTGCATATGACGAAGTGAGTGAAAATATTTTGGAAGCAAATACTAGGTTCCATTGTCCGGTAAGTGGAATACTTAATTTACACAAACCGAAATACACCAAATTTAAACGTAAGGTTTGGGATTTTGAAAAGGGGACTACGATCGCTACTGTGAGGAGTTAAGACAAGTTGACTGGGATACATTACTTGATACGAATTTAAATAATGCAGTCTCCATTGTTACACTAGATGCTGCTAACAAGCATATACCAAGTAAATTAATTGTTGTTCGCACGAAAGGTCCTCCTTGGATTACATCATTTATCAGGAGACAAATTCGTAAACGGAAACGTTCGCACAAAAAAGCCAAAAAATACAATACTCCTGAGTCTTGGAAAAACTTTAAGAAAATTAGGAATGAATGTGTAAATTTGATTAAACTAGCAAAAACCCATTATTTTGAAAAACTTGTGAATCATAAGATTCACACGTAGATTCCATTAAGAATTGGTGGAAAAAATTGAGTAACATGGCTGGGCTTCCTTCCAAATCCTCAGACTACCCCCTATCCTATTAAATGATACCTACTTAGACGATAATAAGGATAAAGCAAATGCCTTTAATCGTTTTTTTTGTGATCAATCAAGTCTTGATGACTCATCTACAAATATCCCAGAATTAAATTTAGATGACATCATTCATACTTTAGATAATATAATTATAACGCAAGAAGAAGTTCATGACCAACTCCTCTTGTTAGATGTGTCTAAGGCAACAGGTCCCGATAGCATTAGTCCAAGATTTCTTAAATATGTGGCTCGCTAATTAAGCTATCCCCTGGCTCTGTTGTTCAATAAGTCACTTCAATTGTGCATTTATCCGTATGAATGGAAAATAGCAAATGTAATACCAGTTTTCAAGAGTGGTTCTCCTGAAATTTTATCAAACTATAGACCAATCTCTCTGTTATCTATTATTGGTAAAACGATGGAAAAATGTGTTTTTAAATATTTATTTAATTTTCTTTCTCGCTATAAAATAATTACACACTTGCAATCAGGTTTTATGCCTGGAGATAGTACTGTTAATCAATTTATTTATATTACCAACGATATTACTAAAGCCCTTGATTCTTGAAAGGAAATCAGAGTTGTGTTTTGTGATATCAGTAAAGCGTTCGACCGAGTCTGGCATGAAGGCCTCCTTCATAAACTAGAAAAATATGGAATATGAGGGGACTTACTGAAATGGTTTAAAAGTTATTTATTTGAGAGAAGACAAAGAGTTGTCATAGGAGGACAGACCTCTGATGTTTATAGCATTAAAGCAGGTGTCCCCCAGGGCTCAATTTTAGGCCCTGTATTATTTTTATTATTTATAAATGATATTGTATGTGACATATCATGCAACATCAGACTTTTTGCTGACGATACGTCATTATATATAGTTGTTGAGGACGAGTATGCTACGGCTGAATTAATGAATTCTGATATAGAAAAAATGCACTTATGGTCTCAACAATGGCCTGTTAATTTTAATCCAAGAAAAACTGAAACCATGACCATATCTAGAAAAAGAGCAAAACCCCATCATCCACCAATATATATGAATGATACACTGATACAAGAGGTTGAAAAACATAAACATTTAGGGTTATTTTTTTCAAGAAAACGGCTGTTGGGAAAGTCATGTTAACTATATTATTGATAAAGCTACGCCGCGCTTAAATCTTATGAGGAGTTTAAAGTTTAAGTTATCGCGTAATAATCTACAAGTTATTTATATCAGTTTCATCAGGCCTATTCTCGAATATGCGGATACTGTATGGGATAACATACCAATTTATTTAAAGGACAAACTAGAGAGTATTTAAATAGAAGCGGCTCGTATAGTCACAGGTGCCACCAAACTTTGCTCTAAATCTAAACTTTATAATGATACTGGTTGGGTATCTCTGAGTGAAAGAAGATCCAGACATAAAATTATTAAATTTCACGAAATGTTTCATGATCAAGCTCCTAATTATCTTTGTAGTCTCATACCTCAACAACTTTATCAAGTCTATAACTATAATACTAGAAGGGCATTTAATGTTCAAAATATGAACTGTAGATTTACTTTTTATCAAAATTCCTTCCTACCATCTGTTATTCGTGAATGGAACAGCCTTCCACAAGATGTTAGATGTAATCCATCTAAATTTACACTTAAAAATTATATAAATCGAGATATTAAGAAAGTCCCTACATATTATAATACTGGTTGTAGAAAAGGCCAAATACTTCACGCCAGACTCCGGTTGAACTGCAGTGGCTTAAATGAACACCTTTTCCAGAAAAATATTGTTCTTTCCAGCCTCTGTATATGAGGACAGGTTGAGAGCACCAAACACTATCTGCTAGAATGTCATAATTATAGTCTCATCAGGACACAAACCATTTCTACACTACCAAGATATAAAATACAAACATTATTATCAGGTAGTGAACTCATCAGTGATGAGGAAAACGAAAATATTTTTAAAGTTGTACAAAGTTTTATTTTAGAAACAGGGAGATTTGGTTCATACACAATTATTTTTATGTCGATTTAGATGTTGAAAACTATAATTTAATTTACCTTATTTTCGAAACATTTACATATTTCACAGCTACATGTGAGACCACAATCATAAAAAAAGATGAGTTGATAACATTATTCGATCAAACTGACTTCTGAGTAACGGGCAAACCACTGAATAAACATGTACTGTGAATTGAAAATTACATTATACGAGTTTCTTATACTATGTTCCTAATTTTGTCATTTTTAAAGGGAGACTGATTTTATATAAGTTCTTCTTGTTTCCGAATCCCAGCATTTTATATTTTATAATTGTATTTTGTGCACTTTTGAAAATAAAATATTGTTTAAACTAAACTAAATGACAATATCATGGGACAAGGGAACATACTTAAAAAACTTCCTCTATGCATATAAGGAATATAGTGTTGATAAAAGACAACGTTATCCACGTCTAATGACAAACGAATTAATCATCATACTAATTTTACAGATGATAATATCTTATCAATATTCAAAAACAATGGTAGACACTAATCAGAACTAGGTGCTGATAATAGTTGCGTATGGAATACTACACGGAAGTTCTTGAGAATGGAATTGTATATTCTTCTACATTCAATGACAGGTTGTAGGTATTCCTATGGGCACCAATTGTGCCCATTTAATAGCAGATTTGTGTCTGTATTGTTTTGAATCGCAGCTTATAATCAAACTCAGTAAAGATCAAATTATTTTCACATTCGGTAAATAATACTAACCATTACCTTGATGATATTGTTTCTCCAAATGATCAAGAGTTCTTTAATGATACTGCGGAAAGTCACCAATGAAACGTGCTTTAAATAAATCTACTATTAACAGCAATATTTTTTTTTTAATTTTGGGATATTTCAGTTTCATGCGAAAACATGGAAACCAAAATTTACGACAAAAGAGACGATTTTTCGTTCCCTGTTGTGAGGGGGTGTTCCTTTTACCTCTTCCTACAGTGTGTATATTTCTCAACTCTTTCGCTATGCATGTGTCTGTAGTGACGTTTTAATTCAATCAAAGAGCCTTTGTGAGCACGCTCATATACCCCGCGCCCCACATTGTCACTTGACGA